GACTGGTCCCAGCACTGATCCCTGAGATCCAATACCTTTAGGTTGAGCAGCTCTTACACACATTTCAGAAGAAACTTGGATAAATTGCTTACAAGTTGCTATTTTGTTGGAAACTCTCATTAAGACAAGTTAATGGGCTTGTGTTATTATTTGTGATCTGCTTGGTCAAGTGTCAAGAGAGACATCAGTTTCAACAACTCAGTGCTTGCAAGTGATTAAAAAATAACTTCCGATACTTTCATAGGTTTTTGTGGATTGAGCTGTAAGCAAGTTAAATATTTTTCAAAAGTTTTTTTGACTTTCATTTAAAGTGAAAGCATGAATGTTTTGGCTGGTGACTTTAAAGCAGAGCATCTAAATAACGTCAAAAACAAGAACAACAAAAATTACCTTAGCATGTCTTTTTGTCTGGGAATAACATTTCTCCAATTTTGTAATTTTTTTTAATCTTCAATTGTGTTCATAGCAGAATTTTTTTCACTATGCAGTATGCCAATTGGTGGTTTAAGTTTGACAGGGACATCTTCAAAATACAAGGTTGATATTATGTCGGTAATTACACTTTCTCTTCTGGTTTTGCTTTAAGAATAGACCTGTTCATCTCCGTCGCATCTATGAAACCGTGAGGAAGTTATTCATACTCAGGTTCTGCAGATGGACTTGGAGTTCAGAGTTCAAGTCTTCTATTGACCAATTTGGCTGCTTCTTTCTAATAACTTTGTATATATGATGTGAATACATTTAAAAAAGCTATTGATATAGCACATATCCAAGCCATTTTCCAGAGTGATTAAAAAAACCCTTTGCACCTAATGTAAAATACATTAAACAAGGAAGCATACGTCTTTCCTAAGTAAACATAAAAAAATGAATGTTATATATGCAAAAGTTAAGTTGAAGACAGAACAAGATTACCAGGACAGTTTTGTGAAAGATAGAATTACTGGTAGTGTCTTTTCCTTTTGCCCTTTCCCCATTGCCATCTCTTGCCTTATGTTCTGAATTGTTCCCATTCTCTGCCGTCGTGGATTTAAGGTTCAGGCTTTCATTTCTGTAGTGTCTCTGCCACGGCAGGTGCTTCTTTGCCTGACCAGTTTCTCATCTGACTTCATTCCAGTCTTCACGCTGAAATAGCTGTGCACTGAATTGCAGTCTCTTGTCAGTCTCCTAGTTCTAGTTCTAGTTCTAGTCTGCGTCTGTCTGTTGCATTTCCCCATCTTCCACTCCAGGTTTTGCTGACCTTTCTCCCAGTCTAAATTCCTCAGATTGACTGAAGCCTGCTGGAGACAATACTCAGAACCAGTATCAGTTCTTGACTGGAATTACTTGGTGTCCACAACGTTTATCAGCAGCTTCAGGGAAAAATCCTACTCATTCCCAGTAGCATTGGGATGGATTGTGGCCAGCTGTCATCACAGCTTTGAAGAAATCAGTCATAAAATTCAAACTTGATTCACAGGGTCATAGGAAAACTGTGGCTTCTTCAATGCTCCAAAACTGTGCAGGTGCTCGAGAAGGCTTGACCGTAGCAAATGTTGTTGTCTCTTGTACTGCAACCATTCTTTCCTGAAAATGTTGAAGGTACAAACAAATAATTTTTATAATTAGGAGTGCAGCTCTCAATCTTCATTGCATTCAGTGACATCTAGGATTTCAGCCTTTTTTATTATGATATTCTTTCAAGACAGTGAGATGTTTTTCCTGCTCTATTTTTTCACTTGTGGATCGATTTGATTTTTGGGCTGGTTTGTGGTTTTTGTGTTGGTGGATTTGCTGGTTTGTTTTTTTTTTTTTTTTTTTTTCTCTTATCAACAAAAGACAATTATTTGTTTGGGGTTTTTTTGTCACGTCTTTGGTGATGTCATATATTAGTATCTGAAAGATATGGTGACATTAGACACTATCCTACGTATCATGTTACATATTTCACTGCATGGGGAAGAGGGTGCAAGCTTCTCCCTGCTTTTGTTCTTTAGGTTAAGGACTTATTTATTTTCATTTTTTTTTCTTATTTTTGTCCTGGTTTGATTACCTTTTACCTGCATAAACAGGGATCCATTCCCTGCTGTGATAAACTTCCATGTATCTGCATTAAAAACAAACACAAAAACCCCAACCAAAAAGCCCACAACAAAAAAAAAAACCAAGGAAGTTATCTTCTGCTTTAGTTTTAGGTGTTTATTACAGATATTCAGTTCTCATTCTGAAATAGTCTTATTGCTCATTCCTTCTGACAGTTAACAGTTTTGATTACAGCTTGTTCATGTTCTGTTTTCTCACACAGTCTTCAGCTGTCTTAAAAAGGATGGATGTAGGAGTCCCTTTTTCCTAGTGTTACTGCTACTTTAATCGATAGCATAGGTACAACAGTGACTGTTGAAGGTGAGCCTTGCATCGTTCCTCCACTTTGCTCTGCTAAGTAAAAAAACTGTTCTTCATGACAGCGCTTCTGGTTTGAAGCTCTATTGGCAGAAATCCTGAACAGGATTCCAGATACACTTGTGCAGGCTGGGAGCCAACCACTCCTTTCATCTTCTTCAGAGATAGTAAAGCCTAAAAAGGTGCTCTTTTGGTTTTATATACATTGATTCTTTTGGATTTTCCTAAAGCTTCCATTTGACTTTGTATATTGAGTTAAAATACTTTTTCAGTTCAGCCTCTATATTTGCTGTCAATGAACCTGTTAATAGGTGGCAGATGAGAATATTAACAGGCTGGGACACCTACCAGGACCTCCTGATCTGCTTCAGTGCGGCTGAAATAGCTTAAATTGCATTTGCACACAGCTGTGTGCCAGCAGCACATGCAGATAGGTGTCTTACTAGTCTTCCTGCAGTTCAACTGTTCTGGTGACGAGACTAGCAGTGAAGCTGTTCATAATGCATTCCTGATCGTGGGCTGAGGTGCTCCCCTGTCAGGTGAAGCTTGCCCACCTTACTGCATTCACATCAACATGAGCTCAGCTGGGTCTGCAGGTGTTACAGTTGTGCATATGACTGCAAGGCAGGAAAACAATGGAAGTGAAAGAAACCTTATGTATCTTGTTTGGACTGCATTATTTAGGGGCCAGAGAACTTGGTGTACTTCCAAAATTGTGTCCGCTTCATCATTTTGCTGCGGTCTGGTACTAGGCAGCCTGTGTCTTGCCTGATAATCTCTTGCTTTGTGTCCTCATGTCGGATTTTCTGAAGTGGCAGTGGACAGGAGGAAAATGCAGTAATGAAAGCTACATACACTAACCAGAAAATCTCTTGTCCCTTACCTCTATATTAGCCTAGATAGTATTTGTGATACTGCAGGCCAGCCTACAGCAAGGTTTCTTGAAGAGCTTAGTAGTAACGTATGTTCCTTTGCATATATGGAGATTGAAGAATTCTAGATTAGTATGTTTAGATATAAATCATAGTTCTGAGTCATTTTATTGGAAGAAACCAAATGAATGCATTACGTGGAATTAGAGTGAAGTTAACATGGTTGCCAGGTTTCAGTGACTACTTCTGCAGACTGAGTAAAACTGTGTATTTGGTCTTGGCAAGATAACAGCTGTGTTGCACTCTGACAATGGTTGAAATGTCTAAAGAGAACCCATTGAATATCTTGAGTGGAGGCAGGAGCTGTCTTGGTGACTGGCCCAGCCTCTCATGGTTTTGATTCAACTAGAGCTCCTACTTCAGCACCACTTCAGGCTCTGAAACCTTGTTCACTCTTTTTGAAAATGGTAATACCTGCATGACTTGCATGGGTTTGTGAGTCACATTTTGTGACTTGTTTGCTGAATTAATTTAAACTCAGATCAGTTCCCTTACACCTTCCTTCTTACGCTGGTTTTGTTGCTGAAGTCAACATCTTGCATAACTAATGCTTTCATTTCAAACCATATAAATATGTAACTTGCTTAGTTTACCTTGGAGTTGTGTAACATTCTACACACCTTAAATCAGAGGTACTCTTAATGGAATTAGATGCAATCATAACTGAATTACTGTGGTGCGATAGTGGATTTAGGGGTTTATTCCCCTTAGTCACGTATAAGTATGTTAATGAAATAGTAAGCTGTTTTCAGATGAAAAGAAAAATGCATGTCTGATATTTTCTTTCAGATGTTCTTAAGCTCCAGCACATATCCTGAGATTCATGGGTATTTGCATGCAAAGGAGCAGGGAAAGAAATCGTGGAAAAAATTGTACTTTCTTTTGAGAAGATCTGGTCTTTATTTTTCCACTAAAGGTACATCTAAGGTATGAAAAAAAAAAAAAGTAGGGAGAGAGAAAGATCTATGAAATGTGATCTATGAAAGATCTATGTGTATGTATTTATCATTTGTAATAATAACCAAAATTTGAATTTCAAATTATTGTGATTAAAAGGGGGAAAAAAATCTATTTATTATGAATAATATCTAGGGAGATATTGCTATTTAAAATTGGGGGAGTATTGTCTTAGGAACAATAGTTTCTTTTTGCCTGATAAATTTGCTTCATTCTGTTTAAATATTTTTCCAGTCAGCTGACATAGCACCTTTTAAAATGAATTTTCAAGCAGTAGTTAAAATTCTGAAATATAAAGAGATATTCTGAAAAGTGGACGTAATACTTCATTACCTAAAACAAGAAAAAAACTATGTATAAAAGGATTTTACAGGGGGATTTGGTGAGCTCTTGAATTTTGTCAGTGGACAGCTTTTCATTTTGCAAGTTCAACTTCTTGATGACAGTACTTCAAACCTGGTTGTTAAACAACTGCACTGGAGTTGAGACACCTTTTACATAAACCACTTAAAACAATATTTTTTCTTGTTCTGAATTTTCTAGGTTAACTGCTGGGTTTTTTCTGTCCTTCAACAAGTAACCTTTATTTGCTTCCTTGATTTAATTAACCTTAGAGGATGGAGATAATGGTTAGAAATATTACTGGATGGTAATTACTGCAGTATGTTGTTTTTCAGATTACAAATGTATATTTTATTTTGATGTTTGAAATGCATACTGCTTTCAAAACTTGAGGCTTGAATTTAGTGAATGTTTTCCCAGAGATGATACCACTTGTACTTTGTTTTTTCTCCCTCTCTGGAAGAATGAACTGTTTTTCTCTGGAAGAAAGACTGTTTTGAGGTGTTCTTTCTCTGCATTATAAAATTAATATTGAGTTGTCTCTAGATTTCGTGATGTCACAGTTAAGACTACAGTATGTAAGACTGCTTTTTGGAAAACGATAACTACTGTACTCTTCTGAATTTCTTATCTGGAGAGGCTGGCTAAGAATAGTCCTAATTGTATTACATTGCTCTTCTTTTTAGGAGCCAAGGCATCTGCAGTTTTTCTGTGAATTCAGCAATAGTGATATGTACATGTCTTTGACAGGCAAAAAAATTTCTGGAGCACCAACAAACTATGGATTCTGCTTTAAGGTACAAACTTATTATTCTGATATATATTAAAGCAAGCCACAGTTTTTAGGTAAGCTTACATTTCTTTAAGGTTTCTGAAAACAATATTCGGCTGTCTATTATAAAATAGAATTAGTGGCTTTTATTTCAACAGGTATTATCTTCAAGATATGCATTAATGCTAAAAAAATGTGCTGTGGCCTTCTAGCCTAGCAAATCAGGAGGAACCAGAGACCTGAAACAGCTCTGTGCAGATGATGAACAAAGTAGGATCTGTTGGATGACAGCAATTAGGTTGCTTAAGGTAATCTACTTGTGTGGAGTTAACTTCTTGCTTAAGTTTACTATGAAATTTTGATACTATGCAGTAGAGAAGTAATGTAATTCTGATTTCCCATACGATAGTATTTTGCACTCTGGAAGCTTTTTTTTTTCCATCCCAACAAACACAGAGACACCAAAGTACTGGAATCGTTGTAGGGGATGGGATGATCTCTTGAAGCCTCAGCCCTGCAGATACTTAACGTTAAGCATATGCATATATGTAACCATGTTGAATTCAGTGAGGTTGTTGCGTGATGTTGAACAAAGCGATGAGAATACACAAGAAGGGAGCCACAATATAGTTTTTAAATGCACGTTTGTGACAAAATAGGAATAGGTCAGTTGGTGTATTAAATTGGTAGCATTTAGTGCAGCGTGTACGTTCATAAAGGCAGCCGCGACAATGATGATGTTGTGTTATTTCCTTATCCTAACAGCTGTTGTCCTTTTTTTTTAATAGTAAAGAAAAGCATCTCGTATCTTTTACATATGGAAAAAAACCCTTGTCTTCAGTTTATAATTTAAAATACTAACCATGTTATTTTCTGGTTTTAGTATGGGATGCAGCTGTATCAGAATTACATGCAACTGTACCAAGGTAGAAGTGGCTGCAGCCCTTTGAGTATAACACCTATGGTATGTCCCACAGTAGCTCCATGAATAAATACATTGGTTTTGTCATCGTGCTATTTTTAAGTAACTTGTGTCAGTTATACTGCTGACCTGTGTGAATGATTGCTGAGATCCTTAGGGCTGTCAGGGTTGAATAGAGATAATAAATTAATTTACTTAAAACAGATCAGGTAGTTCAGACCAGTTAACAGGCTTTTTTCCATTTGTCAAATCTCCAGTATTTTGGGAGATCATTGGCTTATTTTCACTGTCAAAAAGGATGGAAAGAGGATTTTGAAAACAGAGCTGCAGAACTATAAAACCATTGAAAAAGATTCAAAGTGTTTAAGGATTCACATGCTGTAAATGATGAGTAATAAAGCTGTAACAAATCCTTTTTAGTATACAATAATACTTGCATTTTATTAGTTTCTTAACATAAAATATTAAGCACTTGAGATGGATTTCAGCTGGTGTAATACTGACTTCAGAGGAACACCATAATTTGACAGAACTGGGTTTTGGAGGAACAGCAGCCTATAGTAGATGCTGTGTTCATCTCTTCAGTCACATAGTTGGGATTGGATCAGACTGTCCTTTAATATCTTATATTATCCCAGTTCTTTGAATCATTTAATTTCAGACTTTTGCATGGATGATTTGTATCACCTCTGTGTTTTTTGTTGGCTAAATTGGGTAAAAATTACTTGTTACCATGACTTGTGATAGTTATTTTATAGTGTATTTTTTTTAGTTTTTATTATAGATTTTGCTGTTAAAATGCCTAAAATACACGTTTGCTATTGTAGGTATTCAGAAAAATAGTTTTCAGTGATAGTGCTAATAAGCATGTTGTCAAAATGATGCTTAATGGACCATGTCTTTACTTTCTGTTATGTACAGCTGTTAGAATACCCAGCTGCTGCTGTTACATGGGACCTGGGAGCCTTTACTGATTCTCTCACCTCTTACACTGTTGCTTGCATTTTAGTTTTTGTAGCTTCTAACACATGCATAATCTACAACCAGTGCTGTTTGTTTTTTTTTTTTTTAACTTCTGTAATTCATAAACTAAACAGCAAATAGGATAAACTTGGGAATTAAGTGGCCAAGCCAATGAACATACTTCATAGGGGAACCACTTCCATGTTTCACATTCCTCATTAACTTCACAGCCATGACAGCTGCAAGGAGTTGCCTCCACTATTTTAGAGACAAACCTTTTCTCTTATTTTGCCTTTTTCTTTTTTACTTTTGGAAAATTCAGTACAGGTTACTCAGGCAGACCTTAGACTCCAGTGTCAGGAACTGCAACGCACTACAGAATTGCTGTCTTCCAATTCTAGTTATATTCATGCTTGTAATCAAAGAGGAACAAACCAGGGCTGCTTGGGCTTTGGACTGGGGAGCTTTGCTAACCCTAGAGAAATGTGGACCTCTTTTGTTCCAGATACTACTGTAATTTCTAGAGTGCTAGAATGTTCTTGTAATTACTTGATATTCCAGCATCTGCAAATATTTGAGTCAGCATCCCTGGAGGTATTTAAAAGACATGTAAATATAGTGCCTGGGGTCATGGTTTAGTGGTGGACTTGGTAGTGCTGGGTTAATGGTTGGACTCCGTGATCCTAAAGGTCTTTTCCAACCTAAGTGATTCTATGACTTGAGCCGTTACTATCCATATTAAACTTGATTTTGTAAACCTTGCTTTCTGAGAAGTAATTTGGTGAGTTTTAAGACTGTTTTATTGAACTTCAGTGCTTTTTATGCTGTTGTTACAAAGTTGGTTTTCACTGGGTTAAAAAAAATCTATGATATGAATTAGAACGGATGTATTAACATAGAAGTTAAGCTCCACAGAAATGACTGTTTTCAGTGCTTGAATCCAGTAAACTGTCAGTGAAAGTTTATATACATTCCTGACTTATTTATAACAAAATATTTCAAGTCTTTGTTGATTTGATGGTTATGTATAAGATTTTTTTTTCCTTTTTGTTACTTGGACAACTTAATAACAGTTTTCTGACTTGTTTTGACAAGCAAAGGGCTAGTTATAGTTCAAACTATAAATGGAGTTTATGGTAAAGCAATGTATTTATCATCTATAGCACTAATGCAAAAAAAGTGATCTGTCCTGCCAGACTGTAAAACTGAGCTTTGCAGCAGCATACTGGAATTAGAAATGCTCCCTAGGGTAAAATGAGTTGGGCTCTGCTGGGAAATACTGCAGATACTTGAAATGCCACTTAGAAAACATAATGTTTTCTTAGAAACTCACTTTTAAGTGATGGATCTTTTAAAAAATGAGCAAACTAAATTAATTTTCTTTGCTACAGAGAAGCATTTCAGAAAATTCTTTAGTAGCAATGGATTTCTCAGGACGCAGAAGCAGAATTATTGAAAATCCAACAGAAGCCCTTTCAGTTGCAGTTGAAGAAGGATTAGCATGGCGGGTATAAACACCTTTGCTTTATCAGAATAATATTTCCTGATTTTTTTTTTTTTTTATTAAAAAGACTTTAAAACCATGTTTTTATGTTTCTGTTATACAGAGGAGAGGGTGTCTACGACTCAACTCACATGGTAGTCCTCTTGCCATATCTAACATAGGTACGTGTGAGTTAATTCATTGTCACAGAAATGCAATAGCAGGTTCGTTAAGTAAAAGCAAAATGTTTTATGAAGATCTTTATTTCTACAGCTATACACAGATCTCAGTCATGGTTTCATCACAAAATCTCTAGAGAAGAGGCTCAGAGACTTATTTTGCAGCATGGACTTGTAGATGGGTAAGTTAATTATGTAACTCTTTTGAGAAACATTTCTAGTCAAGAGCTGCTATTTTTGTGTACTACTTCCTGGAGGGAAGATGAAGGAAGGAGGGTTTTGCACTTAACTAATAGAAATAAAAATTATTTTATATAGGGCTATCTGGGGATCAGTTGGTTTCTATTTTATATCTTCTGGAAGCAATAAAAGTGGTGATCTAACACTTCGATTCTGTCACTGACAGATTACTTATGTCTGCTCAGAGCCAGGCACTTGAGCTCTCTCTTTGTACAGTATTCTCTGGGAACTGTCAACTTTGGCACTAGTGTCTTTTGTATCTCTTATTAGTGATGAAGGAATGAAAGAAAGCCTGAAAACATTATTCTAGGATGAACTGTGCAGGAACAACCAATGAAAAAAGTATGCTTTTCCTCCTGAAATGACTAAAAATCATGTTATCCCTTGACAGTAAACAATAAATATTAAGATAAGACTTTTAGTTTTCTCTCATTTAAGTATTAATTTTAAATATTACAAAGCAAGTAGGTATTTTATGTTTAAATACTCCTGGTTTTCATTTCCATATTTTTATCCCTCTGTATTAAACATAAACTTGGTCATTCTTCATTCATGAGTAATTCCATAAAATTCTTAAGTTTCTCTGTTTCCAAATTACTGGTGAAATTCTTTCAATTTCAGATTAAGTACAATGTAATACTGTTTTCTACATCTGCAGAAAGGGCTCCAGGGGAAAAAAAAAAAGTTGGAATGGAGAGGGAGATAGAAATAGTCACACTCAGCAATGATGGCTAATTAGACTTCTGCTTTTGCATTTATTTTTTTTTTTTAAAAAAAAAAAAGGTCTTGTTTTTAAGCCTAGCTAATCATCCTGAAACTGCTTCTATACTCTGCATTCGTTTTTTTGTGTTTATTATATGAGAGGGATGGGACATGGAGGTGAATCCAATGTATTTCTGAGCAGTATGTCATTCTAGGGCTGATTAATCTTCCAATGTATTTCAGTGAGTACACACACATACTGTTAAATGAAACCCAGTAGATTTGGTGAGTAAAGAGCGATGGTGCTTGAGATGAGAAAGTGAACAAAAGTAAACCCAACATTCTTAAGGAAATTTATAATATTGTAGGTTTCATACTTTACCCCCTAGAGGACATCTGAAGGCTTTTCAGTGGTAGATGGTTGACACAATTGCAAACTGATCAGCCTCTGAATGGGACAGTAGCATTACCAAAAGGCCCATGACAAAATGAAACTGGCCATTCAGAGAATTCCTTGTAAGTTTATGAAAGAGCAGTTGTTTGGAGTCATACAGTATGTCTAAAAAGTTCCCTTCCAACCAACATTTCTGTGATTCTGTGAACTACAACCCTTTTTTTCATAATAAGTTTTTAAAGGTTCTTTGACAACTAAAATAGGTCTGTTGTGATAAGGTTAGAGAAGATTAAAGATCTTTTTGTGTCGAGGAGTACAAATGTTGCTTAGCTTTGCTGTTAAAACAAGGGAAACAGTAAGAAAATAGACTTTAAAAGAACTGATGAATGGCAACATAAATCCTCATCAACCTGTATTTTCTTTCCTACCCAATGTGATTACTTTGTGTATTGTCTAATATGGATTCCAGTATGTGGGGTGTAGAGACCCCATTTTGCAAAGCAGCACATTCTTATATTGCCCTGTTCTGAATAAAATGCCAGGCTTTACTGAGAAAGGTACAAAGACTGAAGTTTATGCAAAGGATCTAACTGTGCTCTGAAAAATTTCATTCGTATCCTGGAGAAAGTGAAAGGCCACTAGGTGGTGAGAGAGAGCTTGTTAGATAGCCTGAGTCTATTGAGAAGTTTTGTCCTTTTATTTGCTGTGTGTTCTTACAAGCCATATACTGAGTTGGCGTTTATCGCTCTCTAGTAACTGAAGTAGTATCAGAACTCCAAATTAGACTGTATGGAGATTTTTATAGAAATGTCAGTGATTATGGACTCAAAAATGTCTTAATTCCAGGTATTTTCCTACTTTGTAAAAATAGAATTCTTAAAAACTTGAGGATGAAATTTGTAGTCTGGATCCATGCCATTAGTCAGAAAAATGCACTGTAAGCCTTTGTCTGCTTTCTTCTCCTGAAATCCTTTCTTTTCATATAGTAGTTGTGCTATCATTCCTAGTATCTTCGCTAAAAGTAGGTGGCCACTAGTGCTCACTTTGTTGTTACCTGCAAGTCTGCCTTGCCCGTTTCTTTTGTGTCATGAAAGAGGAACATGCTTGCCAATGGCTGTCCCTCCATGTCCCTTCTTGGGTGTATTGGTTCCCTGTATCTATTCTAGACCTGCAGAGTACAAACAGTTCAGACTCTGTGAATCATGTACTTCCCTCTGTCCTCCAGACCCTTCTCTGCCAATATTCCAAACCCAGTGATTCAGTGGAGGATGTCTCTTGTTGGTAGTCATCCTTTGCCTGCAGTAGATTATCCTGCCAGGATTATGGCACAATTAGGTGTGTGGATAGTTGCAGTGACACCGCTGGCCACTGAGAGTGTGGTGATGTGAACGATGCCATGCAGCGAGCAGGGTGTAGCTCTGTCTCGGCGGGAATTTTGCCAGTGTGCAGGAATGAGTGTGCATTTATGAATATTGGCTAGGTGTGAAAATCATTCTGATGCATCTTGCATTACCTTTTCTGTAAACTTCCTCTTGACTACCTTTTGAATTTGCCCTGTGATGCTTGTGATTTAGGTGACTGTCAGAGGCCAAAGAAAAGTGTTCAAAGCACAAACTTTGAAGGTGCTTTTCTGTCTGAAGAGATGCAATGTAATTCTATGCAGTGTAAAAACTAACACCTACAGTGTCATTCATTCTGAGAATGCGTATTTTTCACATAATAGACAAGGTGAAGAAGAATTTCAGAAAAAAATATTTCCAGTGACACATTGAAAAAGAAATACTGATTAAAAGCATAATTAATATTATTTTTGCTTTTCCCTAATACTTAATGTAATGAATTTACAGTGATTTCAATGTTTAGAAAAGGCTTTCCAAAGTGATTTTAACTGAAAATTTTCAATCTCTTTCAGGGTATTCCTGGTACGTGATAGCCAAAGTAACCCCAAAACGTTTGTATTGTCATTGAGTCATGGATTAAAAATAAAGCATTTTCAAATTGTACCAGTAAGTACAATTTTCAGTTTATATATACAGTTGTATACAGACAAAACACTTGAATAATTGTGGTATTATTAGTATCCATTATTGATGAATTTTTTTTGCTTCTGCTGTTACATGGAAGATACAAACATTATACCTGTATCACTAAAAATAATTAGTATTCTTGAGTAAAATTGAACATTTTTGAGTTCTAGTTACAAAATCCTAAAAAGTGTCTTGAAAAACTAGGCAAGTTTACTTGAACTGGAATAGAAGCAACCCTGACGGCATGAAAATCATCTGTTAAGAAGCTTATGTTGCCTTTTCATTTTTCAATATGTGCACATTTTCTGTTTAGTCATCTGTTTAGGTCGACTGCCTACAGTGAGTGTGTGTCTGTGCATATCACTGACTTACCTGTTCAGGATAGTTTCAATATTAGCAGTCAAACATTTTTTGCTTACCTCCCTTCTTGACTTATGTTATTCTGGTATATTCATGTCCAAGTCTTCTTCAGGGGGACAATTTTATCAAGAAAATAATATCCCTCTTTGCTCCAGCTCCTTACTGACATTTCCTAAATTGAAGTCATATTTCCATCATCCAGTTCTCCTGCCAGAATGGGCAGTTTTCCCCAACTTTCACTCTCTCCAGAGGTGGTTTAGGCTGTTCTCTTTACAGGCTGCTTCTGTTGAGATAAGAACCACTTCAGCATTATGTATTTTAGTCACAGATGCTTGATATGACTCAACAGACTTGTAGCTTTTTCTTCCCTCTTCACAAGAACCTTTCTTCCATTTTACATAATACTCTCTAGCCTCTGTATTTCTTCCTACTGAATTTTCTAGGAGATTCTGTCGTTTCTCAGTAGAAATCGGTGTAGTGGCATATTTTTTGTTTCTGATCTGTGATCCCCTATAATTGTTCATCAAATTTCTGTATGTCTTATGTAGGGCTTGTAGCTGATATCCTCCCCTAAAAAAGTTCCTGCAGAATAAAACTCAAGCATTGTTTAGGAGGAGGAAAGGGGTGATTCAGTGTTGGTTAAAAGAATTGTCAAGGGGTTTCACTGTGTTTACGTACAAAGAATGGAGGAGTGCTTCATCCAAAAGCAATAGCTATAACCTGGATCACATGTAAGCATCAGTATATACTCTGTGATCAGCATCCCAGGTGTAAGATCTTAGTTATTCTATTGACTGTGGATGCTTCTCATATTTACTTTGGGATAACAGTGGTGTGGTTTAGTAAACCTTTTGAACTCTGTACGAATACTGTATAATTCTACTTCATTTAACTCTCAAATTTAA